CCACGTTCAGTTGCTAATTTATCGCCGCCTATCAGCAAACGAAGGTTGAAAAATTAATCAAATCTTTTGTCTTACATTAATATATATTATATATTCCTTATCACGGGGTGCGCGATAGACTTACCTCCACGTGGTGCACCCTGGGCAACGTATACTCATACGGCAAAAAAGTCTATTAACCGGCAGTTGACTTCTGACTTCAAACTACCATAGCCCGACTGCTTGTCATATTCAACCCCTTCCACAGCATTCATCTTGCCTTTTTCTCTACCTTTGTGTCTGTCTGCCTCTTTTACATCCGTGAATCGCCCTTCTGCTCCCCTTCCTCGACTTTCTGCTACTTTGATGACCCTTCCCTCTGTGAAGCCCGAAGTCAACTAAAGGGCTAATGATAGCTATCAAAACGCCTGCCATTTGAAATAAATATTCCTTATCACAGTCAAGGCTTTCTTTGCTCAGTACTGAGGCATTTTGCGCATTCTTTTCAAGTCCCAGTTCCTTTTCTGCATTCTATCTCGTTTTCATAGCCTGTTGTTTTGATGACACTAAGCAAATCACGGTTTTATGATTTGGGAAGCGCTACCTATGGAGAACAGCAGTTTCAAAAAGTGATTTAGTAGCCTGAGCTGGTTTAGTTCACAAACTACTATAATTGATGAGATTACTGCGGCTTGGGTTCTCTATACCATGTAATTACGAATGCAATTTTCTAGCTCTCCAAAGAAAGGTATATTTTTAGTGGCATGATTTTTTTTAAATTTCATTGATCCTTACGCAAGAACTGAACTTTGTGAACAAGAACACCTTGAGGAATCCAAAAGTCGAATTTGGAACATTTCTGTCTTTGGACATGATGGCTATTAAAATCCACTCAATCTAAAAATTGCAGGATTTAAATAGTGCCTTAAGTGCTATTAATTTTCTTCCATCGAATTCCTCCCTTCCATTATCCTTTATTGGAGAGCTACTCTTCCTAATAATTTAGTCTTATTATCAGTAAGAATAATAATAAAATGAATGCCATTAGTTTATGGGATGATTTTTTGTTAAACTTTTACAAAAACGTTGAGTTTAAACTTTATTGCCGGAAAAATGAAGATTTGATTGACACTTACCATCAATTTCTTGAAGACGAAATAGTTTAATATTTAGCACAATTCAATTAATTGTGAATTGTTCAGTTGCGCATCATGGCGAAAACTAGTCATTTAAAATGAGCATACCTACAAACTTACTTCCCTTACACTTTCCTTCCAACAGCTGTAGAAGAATTTTAAATTAAAGCTGAAATAAGTAATTAAGAGATTACAAAATTCAATTTCTTTCAATGATGAAATATGTTGCGTAACACCAATAAAGGAGTTTTTTATCGTTTGCGATTAAATGTATCCTGACTAGACTTGCTGCTGTTAAAAACTCGATAAAACTTGACCATCACTTTTAGAGCTTTGAGGGAGAAATAGACTTCTTAAATTACAGTGATTCAATAAATTCAAAAAGAAAATTCAATACAAATGATGCCACTTAATGCCGGTATTTGAACAATAGATTCATGTAATGTAACCCCACAATCAATATTGGTGCATTAATTCGATACATTGGTACAAAACTGCTGGCGTCAGGGTATTTATTCTCTGAAATAATGCAGTCATTAAAGTTATTTGAAATGCAACCAACCCACCTCATTCCCGATTTACACATATTCATGAGTGTTTTCTCTGTGAAGTTTAATTACACGCAATAAACCGATAATGAATATGCTTGAGCTGTTGCATAACGGGAGCGTCAGAACACGTCTTTCTTGACTTTGTAGCATGATCATAGAATTCACATGTAGGGTCTTCTCTTTGACAGGACGAGAAATTTAACTTCCAGGGTCTATCAATCTAATCAATATACATTGTGTGCTGACCCGAATATCTAAAAATCCAGTCCAAAAACAGCCCCCTTCCCACCTTCCCAAATCAGGGGTCAAGAGGTCAGTACTTCTCGAAAAATCGTTCAGGTTAATTCTGGACAAATGACGAGGAGTTAAATACTACATTCTTATCACAGTGGTTCCTGAATATTTTTTCAAAGCCCAAATCACGCGATGAACTTGATTTCTCATATTTTCTTGGCAAGCTTTTGTTCACTAGATGTAAAACGCACTTATATTGTATTCGGATACAAGGAAAGACAAGATAATCAATTCGCTTTAATATTTTAATGGCTTCTAAATATGCTGCTCCTATGAGACAATAAAACCTATTACTTCCATCAATGTAATTGTGATTCTTTCCATATATTTGAATTATTTCCATTAAGGATGAAAAATATTTCTTTTTATTTGCACTTTAACGGTTTAAGAGTAAAAGCTCTTGCAGTTGTGGCAATTTGTGACGAGTAAGTTTCATCCATGTTCTTTAATGATATGACGTCCTTTGTTGAGCATTCAGCAGTTTCATGATCACATTGATGCGTAAATAAGTACTTGTTCTTCATGCCTATGAATTTTTCAATGTTTGGTAGAACTACCCTATTAAAATTCGCATTATTTCCTCTATAATAATTCTTCAAACTATTAATTCTTTTTACTGAATTCGTACAATAAAAAGCTAATCCGATGTATTTATGGTATTAGACTCGGTCTCCTAAAAGCATTTTCTAACGGTCTCATACAGACTAGTTGACTTCGAGAGAGAGAGAAAGAGAGTCTAGTTGCCGATTCTCTGTCAAATAAATTGCACTCACTGCCACTTGTCATTTGTTAGCTCGTATGACACTTTAACTGAAACGTGGTAGGATGGTGTTTACAGAAGGAGCCTTGATTGGTTTGCACCAAGGTTGTTATTTGAGCTGTTTCGACAATACTCAATGCCGTGATTTAAGGTTCGTTAAATCGTTCTCACAAAGGGTATAACAGACCTCCATTAAAGGTAAGAGCAGTCTCTTCTATTATTTGCCAATACACCTTCTGCAAATTCTTTATTTAAGTACATACATATACAGTTTTAAGTTTATAAAAAAACAATTTTCAAATGTTCATGTCTAATTAAGCAATGAATTTCATAAAATTGCAGCTTTTTCTCGATCAATATATTATCAGTCAAGCATTATTCTTGCAAATTTAATAACCAATGAAATTATATTCAATATTAATTAGAAACAACAGAAAATTCATAATTTTAATTAAAATAGCACACGTGAATGTATACTAAATATCTTGATTTTTGAATAGTCTCCATTTAATATATTTAATTAAAAAAGAAAAAATTCCAATTTCAAATTTAATAACTTTATTTGCTACAAAGACTATATAAAAATTTAACAGATGCAAAGTTAGGAAGAGAGGAAAGGAACTAAAACCGCAGAATTTGAGGTTTATTATAGCAACAATAAGGAAGAATTTTAAAACAACCATCCTGGGTTCAGGGTTAGCAAAATGCAATCTCCCTGTTTATAAGCCCAAATACTACCTCACTCAACTCACTTCTTTGGAAAGAAGTCATCTGTGTCATTTGCCACGAGCACAAACTTCGCTGTCTATCATGTCACTCGCTGCATCTCCAGTGCAAATAAGAACATCTAATGTTGTTGACAATTCGGCTTTGAGAATATGGCATAATTTTCAATTGTATTCAACTGCTTAGTCCCTACAATGACTCTCATTAATAAAAATGGTTACTCAAATAATGATAATAATAATAATAATAATAATAATAAGTGGAAATGGTTTTAATTTACCGAGAATACAGATAAAAACCCTCCATTTTATGTAGTTTCAAGCATTCGATGATAGACCTATTCAATTATTTCAGTTTTATGGTTAAGAAGCGTAGAAATCACTTCGATAATAAAAGAGCAATATTTCCACTATTTCATAACTTATCTATAGTACGAATATAATTTAGGCGCTATATAATTCACTGAACACGAAATTTTATGCTAGTATTTATGTGATGGTATTAACACAGTTAAACTGACCTTCTTCACGCTTCTTAAAACCCAAGGATGGCTTCGGCTAAACCTAAAGGCAGTGGTTTTGAGGAAACAGATCCTGAAGGGTTCAAACAAATGCTGGAGGAATTCCGAAGAACCATGGAACAAAAATTTAAATCACTCCCCGATGAAAGGGAATATTTTACCTCCAATTTGATGTAAGTTTTACAAAAAATAAGAATACTATTCAAATTTTTTATGGCTTTGAATTTTTTCACTTTCAAGAGAAGGACTCGACCTAATTGAAAATCAGCATATTTCAATATTTTCCTCAGCATTTACAGTAAATTCAATGACAAAAAATAGATCAAAGACGAACTCTGAAATATATCTCAGAATTAACTAGGCGAAATTCTTACGACTATATGATGCTAAATCACAAATCAATTTAATAGGGTGGTTCTAGAGTACTCCTTAGATGTGCAATCCAGGGTACCCTAGGAAAGTCAAAAGTGGCATTATGACATCGTTTCCGACTTAACCTTAGAACGATTTGTTGGAATTAAAAAGCAAATCATAATTGCTTTCACATTTAAAAAGACCACTATTGAACATATCATATTTGACACCAATGTTAATCTTAAGGTGGAAAATACAGAATAAGATTGGATCTTATTAAACAAAAACAATTTAATTCTTCAACAAATTTTGATATCCAATTTCGACCACAAAATTTTACCTGAAGTTTAAAAAAAGGATAAAGTATTCGCAAAACTAGGTTTCTGTAAGAAAAGTAAGCCAATAACTATTCATGTCTATGCTTAACATAAAACCAGATAGGTGGAATCAAATAGCAGATGGTGGGGCAGATTTTGAAAAGAGTAAATTATAGACAACTGGTGCTTAAATTTTGCTTCTATCGAGATAGCAAGTTATTTTTCATTGACTACTTATCAGTTAGCTCTGAATGCAAGGCATATGAACTCAATAAGCAGCGTTCGATCGCAGCCTGATATCGATACGCACTGAATCCTATCCATATTAGCTTCTGTTCCGCTTATAGAGTCTGCCAATACCACTTTTGTGCATATCACACTCAAGGGGCTCTTATTTGATACACCCAGCAGTTCTAACTGGTTAAAAGGTTTTTTTCACGGGCTACCATTCCGGCAATATCCAAGCGTCGGCAGATTTTGTATACAACTGCATCTACATTATGGTTGTCAGCAAACTACAAAAGCTTGTCATTGGAAGGGCAATTTCATAGCTAAAAATTAGTTACATAACAGTTTTGAAATGAGATCTTCATTGGTAAATACATAGCACAATTCAGATCGTGTACATTACGATTCCTCGTGATATATCAACAATGTAAACAGAACTTAAATGATAATTTTAAATTAATCTTGCTAAATATATTTGAAGTTTGACAGATTTTCTTCGCGCGAGAAAGTACAATTTGAATGATGCAGTTACTATGTTGACAAAAGCTGTGGAATGGAGAAGCGACTACCATCCCAACTCTATCAGCTGCACTTATTGCCACGAAAAGCCTGGCTTTCATTGCATTGTAAGTCACCGAAGTTCGCACAAAGTTTATTAAATAAGCGCTAAAGAATACGCTATCTTCAAATAGCTTAAAGCTTAACAGTTATAAGTATTATTAGGTCACAGGCTCCCAAGAGCGAGAGAGTGACCTAAGCTGATAATGAAATAGATACATTAAATAAATCAAGTGAATATAATCCCTCCATTTCGTTGAAAACTGAAATTACTCAAAGATTCTCAAAGGCAAGTCTTAAGTTCCATCAGGTACTTCATGACATCAACTTTCAAGGTTGAATATCTGAGCCGAAGGGAATACTGCATTAGTATTCCCTTTAAAAATTGATCCTTAATTACTTATAGCAGCTATCGGAACCTTAACTGACCAAATTGGCTTAATAAGTCAGTTAACTTGATGTGGCATATAAAGTTCATTACTGCACGTTCAACTAGCGGAATGCCAATAACAAGGTTACCTGAATGCGAATTTTTTAAAGAAGTTGACCACTATAGTAATACTTCTTCTGTTACTTTATGCAATGTTTTGTAAATTTCGGGTTATTATTTCAAGTTGACATTTCCTTAAAAATACATAGACATTAAAAATCCCACAACTGACTATTCAATAAGTGACAGACATTCTGATTTATTTCTTATTTCTATTGAAATAAATAATGTGTTATTAAAATATTTTTCTAGAAAAGGTCGTATTTTAGCTTATTCGGGTCTAAATTTTATTTGTTTTAATATTAGGTGCCCACTAATATATGATAAAAATCTACTTCGAGAAAAATTGAGTGTGAATGGAGAAGTAGTTATTAAGCATTCAGATATACGTGCGCGCCTGCTCGGTCAGAGATCATGAAGTTGGCACTCATCTAAGCTGATCGATGTAGATAATAAACCGCACTGGTTGACTACATTCAACACGAGGTGGGATTAAACGTAGGTTTCTCGTATCTCTCCTCTGCCCTTGTCAAGCGATATTTGATTAAAGATCGTGTCAGAGATACGATTTGGATGGGTAATTCAAGTCTTTCAACATTGAAGGTACTGGGTAAAAGGAAGAAATTAGAAAATTAGGAAGCATTGTTCTACAATAAAAGCGATTTGCCAAAAAAATCAGGTTGCCATTGACATAGCTGTGTCCTTGAGGTCATTTAACAAACCAGTTAAATGCATCTGCTTGCAGAAGTTGCATACCCGAATTTTACAATTTCAAAAATTCAGGTTGTGATGCCACCCCACTCTCCCAGGACTTATTTCCACTGAGCTGTTACTGATACAACTTGCACATTATGTCTTTTAATAGCTAGAAACAGAAAATAACAAGATAATACCATCGTTTGTGAACTTAATTTAACAGAGCTTAACTTAGTTCTCACATTGTAAATGCTAGATTTAAAAACGGATAGAAGGTTTTTTAGCAGTTGGCATATTTATATTTATTTTAGCGTGAAATTGGACACGATATGTACGGACGACCCATATTATATGCGTGTTTCGCTCAGGCCAATACTACGAAAAATCATTCTGAAGACACTATCATGCATTGTGTTGAAATGCTGGAAAACGTTCGTAAATCCTTCCGGAATAATGCTACTCAGTTGGTCATGATAATCGATTGCACAGGTATATACTAATTATTTGGATATACGCTAGCTTTAGTTATGAAGTATTAATTAATATAGCTTCTTCATTTTAGGCATGACATTACCTTGCTGCAATCCAAATCTAGGTAAAAAAGTGATGCATGTTTTCGCTGATTACTATCCAGAACGTCTGGGTAGAGCTGTAATTGTCAATTACAAGTCTGTATTCAAACGTATTTGGAGTGCTATCAAGTCATTCTTGGACCCTGTTACAGCTTCGAAAATAGTCTTTCTAAAGACAAAGAAGAAGCCGACATCCAGATCGAAGACTAAAATGTTGAGTGAAGGACTTAGGGAATTTTGTGATGAAGCGACAGCTAAGTGGTTGGAAGAAGAAATTATGCTGAATAAAGAAATTAACGAATCACAGATGCGATTCTGGGAGAAGCCGTCGGGAAACGCTCATGACCCAAGAGGAACCAATGCCTATATCCATGACTATATCGATTGTCAATCACCTCCAAATGGGTTCAATCCCCATCCTAATATTGTTGACATAAAAACCGGCAAGCTTCAAAGAGGCCACGCTGTGAATGTCAGAGGATCAAAAGCTGATAAAATAGGTTCGAAAGAGCTGGAAGAATATGGAATCGATGCAAACGCCGCTGTTGAAGACGATTCTGACTAGTTCAAACATTATGATTATAAGCGTCATTCGGCAGAGTGTTAACGGATAGGCATGCTCTTAATATTTATGTGTCTAAATAATAAATTAACTGAATGTTATTCCCCTATTCATTTTCGATCTTTGACCAATTATGAAGCTAATTATTGAAATTCTTAGTAATGAATAGCAATAAAATGTCTTTTTCAGCAAAATATCTATTAGATTTAAAGCATAATGAAAATTTTTAAAATATTTTTTTATTAACTGCAATGATAATGATTAATAATAAACTTCCTTTGAGATATGACAGCTTGGTTATAAACACGATCATTTTTAATACAAATGGATCTAAATAGTTGCTCAATGATCAACAGACAAACCAAAATAATAATAAATCGCTTTTTGTTATTTAAGATATTTTAAGTTTTGGTTTTCACAAAGATTTTAGATTTCTCGAAGAAGGTTCCACAATTTTTCCAGTTTACATTGCACGTCTTGATTTAAATAAGACTATTTTTCTATGGAAATATGGAGATTGCATTTCTTTTCAAATAGATCCACTTACAGAGGTGAAAAACAGATGATAAATCATATATAATGTTGAGGGGAGATGTTTCTGCATTCGAGTAGTTTTACCAGGCTTGATACTATAGGCTGTTTTACCTGTCCTATTTCTTTGGGCTTTCAAAATGAGGCTTCTCTCCTTAAAACTCTAACAGTTCGAAACGTCTAATTCATTTAGCCTCTTGAATTGGGATTTTCCTCGTTTAAGAAATGAGACCTGAGATTTAATTTCAAAATGAAATTCCGAATTTTACGTTCATTTGGAGCGAATACTTATTTACACTCAAAATTGAGATCAATGCCTCTAAGTGTCAAATTTCTAGATGCGTTAAGCCTCGTCGGGAGCGTTCGCAATTAAGGCGAAATATTTGAAAATCGAACCAGGTTCTGAGATCACACGAGATGACCGAGTGAATTTAAAAAATATTTTAGGAGGTAGAGCATTCATGTTTAAAATATTTTAATAATAAAGGGATCACAATTCGAAAGATATTAATAGTGCTAAATATAGGTTAACGTACGAACTGGGCTATGAACCAGAGGTAAATTAACTTCTATTAAATAAACAACTAGTATATACATTAATATATTGGCCCATAACACAGAGCTCAACGTGAACTCTTGAAAATTCCGAGATCCTTTCCGTTCTTACTTGGCGACGTGGGTATCAAAATGATTAATAGAAGTTACTTTAGAATGTGATTTTCCCATAGAGACGGCCTTAGGATGCCTTCCTTTCACCCAAGTTAAGTATTTACAATACTTCATGATTCGCTTTTGTGGAGTACGAGCAGATATCCACCACTATCTCTCCCTCGTATTTTTCATATGCTAATTCAACTCCCGAGTTAACCGATGAGAACTCATTTGGGTTTGCTTCATTCTATCATTTCTGTGAAAAAATCGTCGAAGGCATGAATTAAAGAGTCAACTATTTTACAATTGTCATATTTATTGGAGACCATTATTGACTTTCCGCATACCTATTCCAAGTATAAATATCATCCAGAAAAGTTGCTAATCATTCACAACAAGACAAGTGTATTTCAAAACGAGTTATCAGATATTAAGGAATAATGATCTAATAATAGAACCTAAGGCAAGATCTAGCTAGTAACAAAAGAAAATAATCACCCAATAACTAGATCACAAAGAATTGTGTTGGACAAAAGGATAGTTTTAGAAAAATAAAGAAATGATAAAATCGCCTAGGCATTACTGGGGAGGGGTGCGTCTGAGTCATAAGAACGTAAAGACAGTACAGCAGTTTCGAAGTACTCTCAGGAAGAATGCGACTTAAGAATAATTCCGGAAAATACATGAGGTATTTACCTAATTGATCAATAGTCATTAAATGTTTGAACGTAAATCTCGATCAAATTAAAGAGGTGAATAACTTAATTATTATATTTATAGACAGAAGCGTAGAATTCTTTTTTACGGAGGTTAAGGTCCTTGAACCTTTGGAATTTTTATTTTCAGGATTTATGAGAGCTATTTTTTCTTTTGCATAGGAGTTTGAGATTATTAGAATACTCCTCCGCCTTCGCAACTGTAGATCTTCTTGATAGAAGAGCAGAAATTGATAGTATTAATACAGATATTTTAAATTATATAGTACTCAGTAGTGAAAATTGTTAATTTAGACAGTTGACTAAGAAACAAACAGGCAGGAGAACGCCAGTTTGAAAGAATGCAACTCGACTATAGAGCAGAGTTGTGAAAATCTGGGCGCTCAATCTGTGATTTTTGTTCTTAGATAGCAATTACCACACAAATGCTTTAACTCCATTTATATCAAATGGCAGGCGTTTTGATAGTTAACATTAGTGCTTTATTTGACTTCAGGCTTCACAGAGAGGAGGAGGAACATCAAAGTAAAAAATGCCGTGAGGGAAGGGAACAGAGGAATGTTTCAAAGATGTAAACGAGACAAACACAAAGGCAGAAAAAGGTAAGATGAATACTGTAGAAGTGCTGGTATATGTCATAGTGTTGGGTCATGGTAGTTTGAAGTCAAAGTCAACTAACGGTTAATAGACCTTTTTGCCGTTGCCCAGGATGCACCACGTGGAAACAAAAAACAGTGTAATAGAATTTATTAATTTATTTCCATTTACGATGAATGAAATTAGCGATTTAACAATCTTCCAAATCTTTTGCATAGGTTATTCCAGCCTATTCATTATACCTCACAAATTCGCAATTATAAAATACCTGGAAGCTTAGTAAATTATTCTGAAATCATCCATACAGTTTAAAAAATCAATTAACCATCAAAATTGTTGCGGAAAAATCTTTGCTTCCCACATAAATTTTGATCTTTAGTGCGATAAAAATTCCCATTAAAACGCAACAAATTTCGACTAAAATTTATTATTAACAGTGTGCGATTATTTGCTTCTCCATGTTCAATAGATCAGTTTCAAGTGGTTTTGAAAGGAAGTGTTTTTCAGACACCAAGGCGATGCACATTTGACTATTCTCTTGGTTGGTATTTTAAGTCGTTCTTCCATTTAAAACCATTTATATGCGCAAACAAAGTACAAAAATGTGACCTTGACTAATTTGATTTAGAGACACAGCAGGTGGCAAAGCATTTGTAAGCAGATTATCAAAAAAATGTACATTTTGCTACAGATTCAAATGAAATAGCTGAGAATGTAACAATCTTTAGAGCCACATTTAAATAATTATACTGCCTACTTAAGACCTTTAAGTGGTAAATAGCACGATTTTAGTCGAAGTCGTCTATTGGGTTTGTTAAATGGCCATACCTCCTTTGGCAGTTTAGCAAGATGTCATAATTCAAAGCAGAATTTCCTGCAAAATTCCATGATATTACTATCGGCCGCTAAATATTATTACGAGAAAAAATCTCACAACAGACAGCTGATCACTGAAACCATTTTAAAGGCAAGTTAATTACAATATTAACCTTAATTCAAACTGTCTTACCCAATGTGTGTTATAAAACTGTTACAGTTTCTTGGACCATTGTGATAGAATACATAGAGGCTTATAAATACATCATTCAGCTCAGTACACACTTTTTAGGAAAGATACCTGAAGTAAAAGTGACCAACAATGCCAAATGATCTGCGTTTGTGTTTGTAATTAACAAACTAAACATTTCTGATGTTACACGACAATCCATTTTCAATATGAGCAAGTTGAAATGTTTGCTTTCTTCAGGCATCATACAAAATGGATCTTCTTTATGAAATATGTATCAAAGAACATACAAGTGTTTAAAATCTTATTCATATAAACCTGTCCATTTGCATCCAATCGTCTTAAATAAAATAAAAATCATGAATTATCTACATTCAGAACAGAAATTGTAAAATACTGCCATCAAAGCTCTAATTTTTAAGAATAATTTAATCATATTTTACTTTATATATCTTATAATGCAACCAAGTCGATAGGCTCACATATTTTATATTTTAATTTTTTCTCCAATACGAACACTGTTTCTTGCCATTTATTACCTATATAAAGTAATCATATTTGTTGCAAATAACCTTCCTTAACCAAAAGGTCGAAACCAGTAAATTTTCAGTTATTACAATTCTCCTATGATTAATTGAATGGGGACCAAACGCGTTGCCTTGTCTTCAGTACCACACTTGAACAGATAAGTGGCCACTAAATTCGCACAATGGTGTCTAGTAAATTCACAATTGGAGAGTTTGGGAGTTATATTTTGTTGGATGCCTTTTCTGGTCAAACATTTACAGTTCATGACTTGGCCAATACTTTGGTGTCCTATCTGTCGGCAGTATTGTTGGTTGTTGATGGTGAAAGTGACTCTGGATGTGGTGTCAAACCACACTACTTCTTACTTGAAATTGGACGTTTTGAAGTAAAATTTTGGAAACTTGCATTATTTTGCTCTATCATATTCATTCGTTATCAGTATATAGAAGTGAATATGGAGAATATCCATCAATTTTACAGGAAACAGCACCGTTCTGAATACTTTCGAAACTGATCACAGTTTGTTTCTTCTTTCCTTTTCAAAGTTACCCAAGGTTTAACCTTATTAAAGTATAAATATACTGATTTTTTGAGGACCAGAAAATAATTTCGATGTATTTTTACAAGTATCATGCTAAATAGGTTCATTAATGGTACCACTTGTTAAATTTTAGATAAGTCAATCGTTGATCTGTACAGCTTTTTATGGTATAAGTGTGCATTAAGTAGTGTAATTGGGAAATAAAATGCTCCTTGAGCTATAAAGATTGTAAGCTTACGCACTCCTTAAAAATATGCAGTGATCGATTCAACACTCATTCTTTTACAGTGAATTTGGAAAGAAGAAGACTGTGTTTGTAAATATTTGTGGAGGCGACGATCTAAAGAATGATATCGTACTTTTTTTTGTTTGCACAGATATGGCGAGTATTCGAGTGGCATAATAAGAGAGGGAGACAATTTCAACTGAGATG